CAGCGAGGGACTCGCAGGCACAACCAGAGGCCCTCCCTGGGTTACCCGTGACGCGACCACAGCCCCCGCCCGGGTCCGCAGCCCCTAGCACACAGCGAGGGCACCACCCTGAGCAACCCACATGCGTGCACGCCCCTCCCGCCCGGCTCCCCTGCCCCTGCAGGCACGGCGAGAGCCCCGCCCTGGGCACCCCAGACGTGACCACGCCCCCTGCCATCGTCCCCACCACTGTAGGCAGGGCGAGGGGCCCGCAGGCACAGCAAGGGCGGGTGCAGCGGTGTCCCCGCCCTGGGCACCCCAGACGCGACCCCGCCCCCCGCCCGGGTTCCCAGCTGCTGCAGGCACAGCGAGGGACCCGCAGGCACAAGGAGAGCCCTCCCTGGGTACCCGTGACGCGACCACGCCCCCGCCCGGGTCCGCAGCCCCTGCAGCACAGCGAGGGCACCACCCTGAGCAACCCACATGCGTCCACGCCCTCCCACCCGGATCCCCTGCCCCAGCAGGCAAGGCGAGAGCCCTGTCCTAGGCACCCCACACGTGGCCCTGCCCCTGCCCCTGCCCCTGCCCAGGAGCTTAGCTGCCCCTGCCTCTTTGGGCCCCAGCACTGCTGGCTCCTTCCTCAAGTACCCTGGCTGCCACGCCTCATTGGGTCCCCATGGGGACCCCAGCAGAGGATACCTCCTTCTTTTGACACCCCTTCTGCCCCCTCATCTTTGGGACTCCACGCAGACCCCAGCACCTGCCTCATTCTTCCTTGGCCACCTCCGCAGCTGCCGCATTTTAGCACCCCCCGCCATGTGTCCCCAGCAGCTACTAAGTCATTGGTGTTCCCGTGCGGTCCCTAGTAGCCACAGCCTCTGTCTCCAAGCACCCCTGCTGTCACTGCATCATTGGGCTTGCCGGGCGATCCCTAGCAGCAGCCACCTCATGGCCCCCCTTGGCTGCTTTCTTCTCCTTCCTTGGTCACTCCCCACGCAGCCATGTCTTTGTGCCCCAGTGCAGCCACCAGGAGCCACCTGTCATTGGGCCTCCTGCCCAGTCCCCTGCAGCTGCCGCCTCCTTACTCTGGCACTCCCACTGCCGCCTCATCATTAGGCCCCCACGCAGACCCAAGCAGCCGCCATCTCCTTCCTAGAGCACCCCCGCTGCCACTGCACCATTGGGCCCCCTCTCAGTCCTCAGTGGTTGCCATCTCCTTGGTCAACCTCCACTGCTGCCTCTTTTTTGGGGCCCCTGCATGGCCCCCAGCAGGCGCTGGCCCCTTCCTCAGATGCCCCCATTGCTGCCGTGACATCGAATCCCCAGGCGCACCGCAGAGGCTGCCACCTCCTTCCTCAGCCACCCCGGCAGCTGCTGCGTCTTAGGGACCCCCACCCCTTGTGGACTCCAGCAGCCACCTCATTGGCATCCCCACAAGGTCCCTAGCAGCCACCACCACTGTCCTCAGGCACCCCTGCTGCCTTTGCATCATTGGGCACCCCGAGCAGTCCCTATGATTGCCCGAGGATGCTTCCTACTTCTTGGGCTCCACTGCTGCCACTGGTTATTTGGGCCCTTTGTGCAGCCCCCAGGACCCACCAGCTCCTTTCTCGGGCACTCCCGCTGTCACCACATCATTAGGTGACCACGGGGAACCCAGCAGATGCCACCTCTTGCCTTGGGCACCTCTGGTGCCTTTGCATTATTAGGCCATCACATAGTCCCCAGTGGCCTCTTAACTCGGGCAGCCCCACTACCACAGCATCATTGGGCCCCCAATGGACATGAGCGGCTTCCACCTCTTCCTTCCAGCATGCCTACTGCCTACCCATCTTTAAGTCCTTGCTCTGCTCTCAAAGCCGCCGGCCCCTTCCTCAGGCACCTCCGCTGCCACTGAGTCTTTGGGCCCCCATGTGGACCCCAGCAGCTGTCAAGTCATTGGGCCCCTGGCGTGGTCCTTAGCAGCCGCTGTGTCACTGCCCACAGTTGCTGCATCCTTCTCCTTCCTAGGGCACAGCCAGTCTGGCCAAGTCCTTGTGCCCCAGTGCAATCCCCCACAGCAACCTGTCATTGGGCCCCCCCAGCATGGTCCCCAGCACCCCCGCCTCATTGCTCGGGCACCTCTGCTGCTCCCGCATCATTGGGCCACCACATGGACTCCAGCAGCCGCCACCTCTTTCCTCGGGAACCCCTACTGCCGAAGCTTCTTTGGGGCCCCTGCACGGCCCCCAACAGCCGCTGGCAGAGATTTGTTCCTATGCCGCAGGTCTTCAAACAACCCTCGGGGTACCAGGGCTCCCCAAAGAGTCACCCTCCCTATCAGGCTTCTCATCTACCACCCACAAAATCCAGGCCATTCTATTTTCAGTCTGTCAGCATGTTTCCAGAGATACCCTATGCGGACACTGTGGCTAGGCTCCTCTCCACAACCCTATCTCACAGAGTCAGAAGTTGGCTATCTACTCCAAAATTGCCGCCAGTTCTCATATCCCCCACTCATCTACAACTGTGTCTCCTCCAAATTATCCACTGGGCTCTGGAAGGCTTGCCCTTCCCCTCATCAAGCTGTGATCCCCACAGAGGACTCCACTCACAACTGAGGATTAAGACTGGAAGCCGAGCCGGCGCCGTGGCTCAATAGGCTAATCCTCCACCTTGCGGCGCCGGCACACCGGGTTCTAGTCCCGGTCGGGGCGCCGGATTCTGTCCCGGTTGCCCCTCTTCCAGGCCAGCTCTCTGCTATGGCCAGGGAGTGCAGTGGAGGATGGCCCAGGTGCTTGGGCCCTGCACCCCATGGGAGACCAGGAAAAGCACCTGGCTCCTGGCTCCTGCCATCGGATCAGCGCGGTGCGCCGGCTGCAGCGGCGGCCATTGGAGGGTGAACCAACGGCAAAGGAAGACCTTTCTCTCTCTGTCTCTCTCTCTCACTGTCCACTCTGCCTGTCAAAAAAAAAAAAAAAAAAAAGACTGGAAGCTGAGTTCTGTTAGGTAGCGCCAGGGCTCCAGCCATCATGGGGTGCCCTGGAGTTTCAATATGAGCATAGAACCCAAGCCTGTGTGATGCCCCACATATGCAGGTCTGGAACCAAGGGTCAGAGATCAGACTTACACTGAACACCATAAACCACTCTGGGTACTTGAGTTTGCTCTTAAGCAAGCCAAATGCCCATTCACTGCCTGGCACTGTCCATACCAGCTCTGTCATCAGAACATGGGAGGTCCATCCACAGTCTTGCCCCTGATCCCAGCATGAATATTCCAATTCTGAGCTCTGGGCTGCTCTATAAGACCCTGGACCATCCACTCACATGCTTAAACCTTCCAGTACCCATTTTGTCCTGTAGAATTTCAGAGCTGAGTCCCATTAAGCTGCCATTCCCTAAGGCAGAACCAGGCCCAGATTCAGTTCTCCCAGCTTGTGTTTTTTTTTTCTTTTTTAAAGCTTTATTGATTTATTTATTTGAAAGAGTAACACAGAGAAAAGTAGAGGAGGGGGTCTTCCATCCACTGGTTCACTCCCCAATTGGAACAGCTAGAGCTGACCCAAAGCCAGGAGCCAGGAGCTTCTTCCAGGTCTCCCACAGTGGTGCAGGGGCCCAAGGACTTAGGCAACCTTCTACTGCCTTCCCAGGCCATAGCAGAGAGCTGGATTGGAAGTGGAGTAGCCGGGACTTGAACTGGCACCATATGGGATGCCAGCACTGCAGGCCGCAACTTTACCCACTACACCACAGAGCCGGCCCCCCAGCTTGTGTTTTTTCAACATTGTGCTTGTCCATGGACATGCCCATGCTGCATGAATGCCAGTTGAAAACATGGCTTAAAATCATCTCCTAATTGGTTCTAAAGCACTTAGCAAAAACAATGCATTACATCAAATGTCTATATACATAAACTCCATAATTTTACTTGGGAAACAACTCAACAATTAAAACACAAAAAAGTAGATAGGAAAAACTGAAAAACATAAAATAAAATTTTAATAGGGTAGAACCAAGAAAATATTAGAATCATAAATAAATCCAAAAGTCAGTTCTTAAAAAATTAATATAGATAACCTAATTTTAAAAGAAGGGGAGGACAAATTGTTAATACACAGTATTACAAATTCTAGGGGCTGGCACTGTTGCGCAGCAAGTAAAGCAGTGGCTTGCAGTGCTGACATCCCATATGGACACCAGTTTGAGTCCCAGCTGCTCCACTTCCGATCCATCTCTCTGCTATGGCCTGAGAAAGCAGTAGAAGATGGCTCAAGACTATGGGCCCCTGCACCCACATAGGAGACCCAGAAGAAGCTCCTGGCTCCTGGCTTCAGATCAGCACAGCTCCAGCCATTGTGACCATTTGGTGAGTGAACCAGCAGATGGAAAACATCTCTCTCTCTCTCTCTCTCTCTCTCTCTCTCTCTCTGCCTCTCTCTAACTCTGCCTTTCAAATAAATATTTACAAAAAAGAAATTGTAAGGAAAAAATAACCATACAAAACAGAAAATTGAATGATAAGTTCAAATGAAACTATTTTACTGATCTTTACAAAGATTCTTGAAAATCCAATAAATGGATCATTTAATAGAAAAACTAACTGTAGTGAAAACTGAAAGCCAATGAATAGATAAGAAATAGTGAATATGGCCGGCGCCGCAGCTCAATAGGCTAATCCTCCGCCTTGCGGCACCAGCACACCGGGTTCTAGTCCCGGTCGGGGTGCCGGATTCTGTCCCGGTTGCCCCTCTTCCAGGCTCTCTCTCTGCTGTGGCCCGGGAGTGCAGTGGAGGATGGCCCAAGCGCTTGGGCCCTGCACCTGCATGGGAGACCAGGATAAGCACCTGGCTCCTGCCATTGGATCAGCGCGGTGCGTGGGCCGCAGCGCACCGGCTGCGGTGGCCATTGGAGGGTGAACCAATGGCAAAGGAAGACCTTTCTCTCCATCTCTCTCTCTCACTGTCCACTCTATCTGTCAAAAAAAAAAAAAGAGTGAATATAACTGAAGATTTCTTCTATATTAAAACTCTGGGTACTTACATTTTCCAAGGAGAAATAAACCAAATCCATCAAGAGTAGAGGATATCAAACTATCTACATCAGAGAAAAGGAAGAACATACATTTTGATTATTTTTATAAAGCAAGTATGACTTTAATCTAAAGATATCAGATAGATTTTACCAAAAAAGATTTATTAAACTCAGTCTAATTTGTAATTATTATAAAATATTACAATGACTGTTGTAAACTATTAAGTAACTAACCATTTTAAACTGGGGAAAATAAACTATTTATGAATGATAATCAAGCATAAAAAGGTTTGAGACACTCACAAATCCATTCAATTATACTAGAATGATTAAGTGGAAAATTATATATTGTTATTTCCATAGTGATTATCTGTCACAGTACAACAATGACAAACTTGGATGCTAAAACATTATCCATTTTTGTCTCTCACAATTATGTTTGTTAGAAATGGTGGTTGGGCTTTGTTGGGAAATGTGTCTGTATTTCCTGACATTGGCTGGGACTACTCAAAGATATTCACCTTGGACATGGGCTGCTCTAGAGAAGATTCATCATAATTTCACATAAACGGCTGATGTTTTGCCACAGAGAAAATGGGAACACTGTGAATCAGCTCAGTATCCTTGACTCCCTAGACTTGTGAAGGCTTTCTGTCAAGGAGAGTAATTCTGCTTCCTTCATTGTCACCTATACTTGTGACTCCGCATGAAGTCTAAGCCTAAAAGGCGGCAAAGAATGCTTTCTGTTGTGATCCTAGGTCGAAGAATTCACATAGTATCTAAGCCTCAAACAGAGCGAATTCAGATAAATATCAGATAATCTAGAGCCAAATTTAATTTCTTATATAGGCATATTAGGCATTTAAAATTTACATAAATTTAGTAAGAGTTTTGAAACATAACTAATAAAAGTTAAGAAGCAAATATACAAGCCTCTGCCTTCCCTATTGTTGGATTATGTGCCAGTTCAAAGAAATAGTGAAGAGAAAGCAAGTAGAGACATAATAATTAGGTAATAAAAAGTGATATTTACTTCAAAATTATGTGACAAAAGGTGAGAATTTTAAAGAATCTTGGTAACACTAATGTTAGCAAGATAAATTCATGGATTAGAATTTATAAAATGAATATATGAAGATCAATTTTAAAAAACCCATTGGTAAATATAATGGAAGAGATGATGCCATGTAAAATGTAAAATGTGAAGCATATACATAAATTCTAAAGCTCGGCGGAGCCAAGATGGCGGAATAGTGAGGGCGCGCACCGATAGTCCAGGAAAATTTAGTTTAATAAAAGGGGAGTTACGGTAGCCGCAGAGAATAGAACCAAAAAAAATTGCAGGGGAAACCCTTCTGGATGGAGCAGCCGTGAATCGGAGGACCTACTGGGAGAACAAGGTCACCCACCGCACAGAAGCCAAGTCGCAGGACCAAGCCACAGAAGCCCCAGGGTCTGCGCGCCAGTGCTCCAAGGGGAGTGCATGCCACACAGACAACAGCGGGAAGACTTGGGACGCTCAGGGCTCCGAGTCCACACATCGGCGCTGGAAGGGGAGGTGAGCTCAATAACCCGAGACATTGGTGGGGAAACGGGGGTCAGAATCTAGAGGGGGGCCGGAAAGTGCAGCAAACTCAATACCGGAAAGAAGGAAAAAAAAAAAAAAAGCTTTGGGGTTTCTCTTCCCCCTAACCTTGCAAAGGTTACAAGGCTGCAAGGCTTGAAGAATTCCCAAGAGACAAAGAGCAGGCCTCCTCTCTGGATTTACATATCAATGAATGAGAGCTAAGGAACTGAGTCACTACAATTCAGTAGCCTAGGCAACCCAGTGGGAGTCCAGAGGAGCCAAAGACTGGAAGCTAAATACCATCAATTCTGCACAGCCTTGTCCTGCAGTGTTACTTACCCCCTGAATAAATAAATAAAATAAATAAATAAATAAAAAGAGAGAGATTTACCACACATAACCTGAGGGTGTCACCTTTGCACACCCTTAACCAGGAAGAACCAGGCAGAGCTCTCAGGCCGCACCCATCTCAAGCCTCCAAGGCTCCTCCAACAGCAGGCAGTCCACTTAACACAGACACAGTATAAAAAAAAAAAAGAAAAAAAAACACACAGTGACGCAAGAAGAATTAACTATGCCGAGTAACAAACACAGAAATAGAGGGAGCAAGATCAACGATGACACTATGATGCCTCCAAATAAGCAAAACACCCCAAGCCAAGAGTATGAAGATGATGAGATAGAAGAAATGCAAGATACGGATTTCAAAAAATTTATGATAAGAACATTTAGAAGTTTTCAAAAGCAAATCCTTGAACTACAGAAATCCTTAATGGACAAGATTGAAAATCTCTCTCATGAAAATGAAATTTTAAGGAAGAGTCAAAATGAAACTCAGAAACTAGTAGAACAGGAAAGTGTTATAGTGAAGAGAAATCAAAATGAAATGAAGAGCTCAATAGATCAAATGACAAACACATTAGAAAGCCTTAAAAACAGAATGGGTGAAGCAGAAGAGAGAATATCGAACTCAGAAGATAGAGCACAGGAAAACATACAGTCAAACCAAAGAAAAGAAGAGGAAATTAGAAACCTAAAAAATATTGTTGGGAATCTACAGGATACTATTAAAAAAACCAACATTCGAGTTCTAGGAGTTCCTGAAGGCATGGAGAGAGAGAAAGGATTGGAAGGCCTTTTTAGTGAGATACTAGCAGAGAACTTTCCAGGTTTGGAGAAGGACAGAGATATCCTAGTACAGGAAGCTCATAGAACCCCCAATAAACATGACCAAAAGAGATCCTCACCACGACACGTGGTAATTAAACTTACCACAGTGAAACATAAAGAAAAGATCCTAAAATGTGCAAGAGAGAAACGTCAGATTACTCTCAGAGGATCTCCAATCAGCCTCACAGCTGACTTCTCATCAGAAACCCTACAAGCTAGGAGGGAATGGCGAGACATAGCACAGGTGCTAAGAGAGAAAAATTGCCAGCCCAGAATATTATATCCTGCCAAGCTCTCATTTGTGAATGAAGGTGAAATAAAGACCTTTCATAGCAAACAGAAATTGAAAGACTTTGTGGCCACTCGTCCGGCCCTGCAAAAGATACTTAAAGATGTGCTACACTCAGAAACACAGAAACACGGCCATCAATATGAAAGAAGGGAAAGGAAGAACACCTACCAGTAAAAGAGCATGGGAAGCTCAAAGCATATATTAGAAAATATCTCCGGGAAAATGGCAGGGCAAAGTCACTACGTATCAATAGTCACATTGAACATTAATGGTCTGAATTCTTCAGTTAAAAGACACCGTTTGGCTGACTGGCTCACAGAACACAACCCAACTATTTGTTGCCTACAAGAAACACATCTCTCTAACAAAGAGGCATGCAGACTGAAAGTGAAAGGCTGGAAAAAGATATTCCATGCCAACAGAAACCAAAAAAAAGCAAGTGTAGCCATATTAATATCAGACAAAATAAACTTTAATACAAAAACTGTTAAGAGAGACAAAGAGGGACACTATATAATGATTAAGGGTTCAATTCAACAGGAAGATGTAACTATTATAAATGTATATGCACCTAATTACAGGGCACCGGTCTATTTAAAAGATATGTTAACAGACTTAAAGGGAGATTTAGATTCCAATACAATAGTACTGGGGGACTTCAATACTCCACTCTCAGAAATAGACAGATCATCCGGACAGAAGATCAACAAGGAAACAGCAGATTTAATTGACACTATTGCCCAAATGGATCTAACAGATATCTACAGAACTTTCAACCCTACATCTACAGACTTCACATTCTTCTCAGCAGCGCATGGAACCTTCTCTAGGATTGATCACATACTAGGCCATAAAGCAAGTCTCAGCAAATTTAAAAGAATTAGAATCATACCATGCAGCTTCTCAGACCACAGCGGGATGAAGCTGGAAATTAGCAACTCAGGAAACCCCAGAAAGTATGCAAACACATGGAGACTGAACAACATGCTCCTGAATGAACACTGGGTCATTCAAGAAATCAAAAGAGAAATCAAAAACTTTCTGGAAGTAAATGAAGACAACAACACAACATATCAAAACTTATGGGATACAGCAAAAGCAGTATTGAGAGGCAAATTTATAGCAATAGGTGCCTATATCAAGAAATTGGAAAGGTACCAAATAAATGAGCTTTCAGCGCACCTCAAGGACCTAGAAAAACTGCAGCAAACCAAACCCAAATCTAGTAGGAGAAGAGAAATAATTAAAACCAGAGAAGAAATTAACAGGATTGAATCCAAAAAAACATTACAAAAAATCAGCCAAGCGAGAAACTGGTTTTTTGAAAAAATAAACAAAATTGACACCCCATTGGCCCAACTAACTAAAAAAAGAAGAGAAAAGACCCAAATCAATAAAATCAGAGATGAAAAAGGAAACGTAACAACAGACACCACAGAAATAAAAAGAATCATCAGAAATTACTACAAGGACCTGTATGCCAGCAAACAGGAAAACCTATCAGAAATGGATAGATTCCTGGACACATGCAATCTACCAAAATTGAACCATGAAGACATCGAAAACCTAAATAGACCCATAACTGAAACAGAAATTGAAACAGTAATAAAGGCCCTCCCAACAAAGAAAAGCCCAGGACCAGATGGATTCACTGCTGAATTCTACCAGACATTTAAAGAAGAACTAATCCCATTTCTTCTCAAACTATTCAGAACAATTGAAAAATAGGGAATGCTCCCAAATTCTTTCTATGAAGCCAGCATCACCTTAATCCCTAAGCCAGAGAAAGATGCAGCACTGAAAGAAAATTACAGACCAATATCCCTGATGAACACAGACGCAAAAATCCTCAATAAAATTCTGGCCAATAGAATACAACAACACATCAGGAAAATCATCCACCCAGACCAAGTGGGATTCATCCCTGGTATGCAGGGATGGTTCAACATTCGCAAATCAATGTGATTCACCACATTAACAGACTGCAGAAGAAAAACCATATGATTATCTCAATTGATGCAGAGAAAGCATTTG